CTGCTGATAGAGTTACTGAGACAGAATTTGACCAGGACCTCAAGGTTAACACCGATACTCTTACAGAAAGTCGTGGGAGCTGTTACCCTGTATGAGACACCTGCATCTGATCCCCAGTATGGTCTCTGGGAGAGTGAAGCACTAGGGCCAGAAAGGCAGAGAATTCTAGCTTCAACATCTCCTGCACTGCCTGGGTGTCTTGTAGAAGGTTTTCTGTCCAAATATTCACCTACCCTAGTCCTGTTTGTTCTGTGAGCTCTAATAGCAGTGCCGCCAAGGGTGAAATTGTTTTAAATGAGCTTTTTGACTATTTTATCTTCTTTATATGGATGCCAGAAAGTTCTTTTGTTTTTAGATATCATCCTCCTCTGCCCCTTTTCTCTGAATAAGAGTCTGTAAGTAAGAGAATTACTTCCACTCATTTTCATCTGTATAATGGTAGAAGGATGAGAATGAAGAGCTATCCGCTAGTTTAGGTTACAAATTTACAGCATTTATGGCCTATTAGAACTCAGATTGGACGGTGATACCTTCATCACTTGAACATCTTTTGCAACTTTACTCCTAGCTAATATTCTTATCTGGTAAAGAATTTGCCAGCACTGTGCCTGCCATGTACTTTATGAAGTACGAACCAGAATTGTTTAGTATGATCTTGGCACTTTTTGTTTCCTCTAATCTTTTCCATTCAGTCCCTGCAAGCCAGAAGTATCAGAGCCATCTGGTAGCCACTTCTCACTAAAACCCAGAAAGCATATGGTGTGCAATTACCATATAATACGTTTTATGTTGAACATTATTGCTTCCAAGGAACTCTTGAACTACCCTTTGGTTCATAACCAAGACCATTTCAACACTACTCTGTTGTTAAGTAATTAGAAAAACCTGAAGGTTTTAATCATTTCCATCTTGTGGGGTGGAGGTGATGTTTGTATAAAAGGTTCCGCTTGAGATTTCATCCTAGTTAGCTGGTACAATACTTTCTTCGTCTGTGAGAGGAAAGAAGCTGTGACACTTGCTCTCCAGGCCTTGCTTACATGATCTTCTCAATGTAATGACCTTTCCTCCCATGAAAAGTAATGAACTCCAGAGTCTCTTTGCTACTTCCGTGCTGGGTATTCAGAGGCATTCGGAGAGATACTCTCTCCCTTAATCTCTCAGTGCTCACGTGCCGTCTCTCTTGGTAACAGTTTTTTGAAGGTAGCTGATTTGATGCAAGATAGATGTAAGATGGTTTAGTATTGGCTTACTGGCAGAAGATAAAGGTGTAATTTATTTAGTGTCTGTTCTCTTACTGGGGATTGATGTTGTGTTTGTGAAAGCACGAATTCGGTTTGGCCTATCTGATTATTTGAGCTTCCGCAGTTGTATGATTTAAGAGCAAACAGCACTTTTAAATGTGTCATTTGGTTTACTTTTTAAATAACCCTAAATAATTTCACTCATTGAAGGGTCCATTATCCTCTTCCAGCGTATAAAAAAGAATTCTTTTGTGTAACCTTTGAGCGACTAGAACTCCTCTAGCAGCAATTTCTGTTTTCTCATAGCAAGCGGAATAGAGGTTCTGGTTAAAAGGCGCTGCTGGTCAGCAACTCCCATCATCTGCACTGCTTCCCTTGCAGTTTAAATCCCTTGCTATGACTCTGCCTCTAATCGAGGAGAAAACCATTAAGCCATGTGTTTGTGCTGTTAGTTAGGCTCGGCCACTTATTTTCTAACACTAAGACTTAGAAAATAGTTCACCAATTCAGGGCTTCTAACATAAGGAGAATTTGCAGCTATGTGTAAGAAAAAAAACCGAACGGGATGGATGATGAGCTCCCTTTCCCTGGTCAGCATGTTATTGCGGCTCCCAAGCACTAGGTCGTGCTAGTGTATATAAGAATTTGTGGGTAGTGAAGACTAGATCCTCTATAGCGAAGCACCAAGCTATGGATTAAGGCATGTTCATTTAAAGCAAGGAGCTTTAATCAAGTGAAATCTAATTTTTCCTGCCCTCCTTTTACAAATAGCAACACGAGCCACGTAGAATGCGTTGCTGGTATGGCTACATGTGATGTCCTAACACGTTCCAGCTCTAGACGTATAGCTGATAGCATGGTGGTTCTGGCAAATAGTGCAGTTCCAGTAAAATCACTCCTAAGTCATTTTTGTGTCTGTTATTGCTGATATTTGCTGCTCAAAACTTCACTTTAAGAGACTAATGTATCTTTTATGCTGACATCCTTCCACTTTGTAATGGGTTTTTCTCTTCAGTGTTAAAGGCAGAGAAAAATCCTTTTTCCTAGAAGGAAAATCTAAAAAAATAAATACTAATATGTAAAACCAGTTTACATTTTTCAGTTTCAGCTAGCTGCCTAGCTAAATGGAGGAGTTTCAAAGCCATCTAAACGTTTACTTCACTGATACAGTCAGTGAAGTATGGCAAAACAGATTTTTTTTTTCCTCGTCACCAGTATTTCAGTAAAATTGAAACCATAGAACGGAGATTTTCTTAAACGAAAAAGCTCTGAGCTGACATCACAGGGAATTTTTTTTATTACCTTGCTGAGGCCTCAGACTTTGGCTAAAGCTTCAGTACAGCGAGCCATGTTGTACTTGGAAATACAGTATGCTGCTAGTGGCTAATTTTCCAGTTTTAGTCCTCTGGAATGACTTAATATTTTGTAAGGTAGTGCATTTCATGAAAAGAACATTTATTAAGCTTATGCTTTGTAATTGTGGTTAAATGTGAATTCGCTCTACTTGTACTTCTTTCTGTTACTGGTAAGCTATGTTAGATCTAATTTTGGAATAATCAAATTTCCAATCACTGCATAGTATTTAAATTTTAAAATATGGACATAAACATTGCCTTCTTAGTCTTTAAATCAACATGTTCAAGGAAGTATTGAGCTGAAAATCAGTAGTACTTTTAGAAAGTATTTTCCCTTATTACTGCCAAAAAATACCGCTAAGGTAAACCTCTACAATAATAAAGGCTGAATGACTTATTTTGTGATTTTTGTCTCCTCCAGAGCTTTAAAAGCGTATATTCTACGCCGAAGGCGGGATGGTGTTAGTTTAACAATAGCACCATTAAATACTGTCTTGAAAAAGACCCTTGTGTTTCCCACTGAATCAATTGATTTGAAATTAATCCTTTGATACATAGCG